CCTGCTGAGTTTTCCTCTCAGAAACTGAAGTTATAAAACCTGTGCTTTGTCTTGATTGTTTTCTTGGCTTTGATTCTGTTGGAGGGATGGATGGAGTCACGATCATTTCTCTGCCTGCTGCACCTTGCGTATTCTGAGCTAGCAATGCATGGGCTGTGAATGTTTAGTATGTGACACTTGGTGCTCTCTCTGTCGAGACTCAAGTTGTATGAGAGTTTAGACTGCTTCTGGGAACATTTCACAAAGGTACTGGAGTCTAAGGAAATGGACTCTAAAATGCTTGCGGGGGACAAGCCGGGTTGTTAGACTTAGCTCTACACTGCTTGACTACTCTCCTGTCCTGAGATAAGAGTTGTGCCCATGCTGGCTTCCAGCCTAGGAGAAGGGATGCAAGTGTAGTTCTAGCAAAAAGCGTTCAAAGCCTTCTCCAGCACTATAGGTGGCTGGGGAGCAGCACCTGGTGCTCTTCTTCATGTTTATTGTTGTCTTGAGGTAAGGAACTTGAATAAGGTCATTTATTGTTGAATGAGTGGGCTTGCACTGAAGAGAACGTTAAAAGGTGGATGAGCACCAGCTTTGTGGTAGCACGTCCAGTCTGGGTGAAACTGTGGAAATGGTGCTACAGAATTAAGAGCAGGGCAAGGGATAGCAATGGTCAAGTAAGAATGGAGTGCTATTTAAATCAGGTCAAGAAAATAAAAGAATGGGTCCCCATACAATTCTAGAACCTTAAGAAATGGGACATCTAAGCCTGCGTGGAGATAAAATCATGGTAGATACTTTAGAAAGTTGCTGGAAGGAAGATGATGAGTGGGATGCTGTGATACCTGTGTGTAACAGGTACAGAAAGGATACTGGGTAACTATATACTTAAAACAACAACAGAAAAAACCTTGTAGTCAAATACCATATTCTTGCTGAGAGGTTTCATTTGTTATACAGGATTCACGAAGAGAGGATTCAAGGCTTGATTTGGGGGGTAGGGGTTACTGGTGCTGCGTCATTACTTACCAATGGAGCTGGTGACAGACGCTGCCCTGCACAGGGTGTTCGGTGTACCTGTGTGGGCATGGAACATGGTAGTAGCTCGAAAATTGACTAAACTATATAGCAATAGTTAAATATAGGATATGCCATCTTTGTCCCTTTGTGATTCACCATGAACTTGTCTGCAGCAGGCTTTAGACCTCTCCTAATGGTTGTAAATTGAATGTAACTTGAAACACCATGTGGATATTCTGGAGCTACAGGGTTTATTAGTGTGTAAGTAACAGTTTTGCACACTAATGTCTGTGATGCACTATCTAATATAATCAAAAAGGAAATGTCTGATTATGCCCTCTCTGACTTTAAGCCATCAGGGTCTTAGTGTCCTAAGATTAGTCAGCTTACAGGATCAGAAGTGAACCTGTAGACTTCCTGAGGATGGGCAAAATAGCCAGTTGTTTAGCTGCTGCGAGATTTGGGACTGTTAATCTCTCAGTGCGGCGCTGCTCTCAAGGACAGGGTTTATTTGCCAAACATAGTGCAGGCTGCACCTGGATTGCATCATCACATGGGGCTAAATATTAAGTGCTACTGGTTGAATTCATTATAAGTGGATAAATCAGTGGAGTACCTGTTTACACACTGCCAATTTCAGTGCTGGAAAGCTTGACATGTCTGTTTTTCTTCACAGACTTATTTTGTTGTAATGCCTATGTGCCTTCTTCCAGGGAAGAGTCTTAATGCTGCTCAGGTGTTTTCTGTGCGGTTGCTCTCTTAATTCCAAATTGGTTTGGGCCTTGCTATCTCCCTTTTAATACTTGTGTGGCTTTCCCCTTGAATCAGTATTGGCTTTTGAACACTCATCTTGAACGAACCCCAGCATCCCTGGATGGAAGTCATGTATTCTTATTTAAGGCAAGAAAATACAATTTCTCTTTGGAAACTTAAGAGCTGTTTGAACTCTTGCTGGTGGAAAACTGAAAGTGCTGTGAAGACATCTGTATGGCCACAGTACTCTCAAGGGAGAAAGGAAAATTTGAACCTTGGTGGTTTAACCACTTTACAAATCTTCCTTTTAAAAAACTGGACCCTAAAACACCTAAATTAATCTCTCGCATGTGTTCAGAGATCTACCTTTTGAAAGGCTGTATGATTCTCTCTACCATGTCATGCTCAGCCCCAGTAGACAAGTTGTGTAGTTTCTAACGAGAGCTTTGTGCCGTTACTGCTGTGGATTTGAAGTTGCCTGTCTGCCTTCCGCAGGGAAGTCACAACGGGCCGTCCTCACCTGCAGCGCTGGCCCCAGCAGCACTGCTACCCCAGCACACGCCTCTGGGGTTACTGCAACACCACTGTCTGGAAGACACCAGAGGAAGCACCTCCTTTGTCCTAAGGAGTCATCAACATTGTGTTTCAGAGTATCTTCCAGCTCAGGAATTTACCTGAAGAGTGAAATTAATAACTTTTGGTCACTTTCTTGCCACTTTGTTGCCACAAAAGTATTTTGGTAGTACAGGAAGGTGGGAGAAATTGCAATGTTGCTTCTCAGAATGCTTCCTCTAATGTAGTTCTACATTGCTATTCATAGCAGTTCAGTTTTGTCTCACAGATCTTACGTAAAGTGTCTTTCTTGTGTTTCCAATCTTGATAACCCAACTCCCCAGGACATCAAATGTCTGCCTCTCTTGGAAAGAGGGTCCCTTATAATACTGATTTTTTTTTGCGGAGGCCTAAAGGAAGACAAGTTGTTGTTGGGATCATCTACGTGGGAATGGTACAAAAACCAGAACTTTGCTCCCAAGATTTTTATTGTAGTGCTTTGGCTATAAGATCATCCTTCCCTTTTTGCAGAGAAGGTCAAGAGAAATGAAGTTGTTCTTTTCCCCATACCTCTTGCAGCTGAACCTTGTAGGATTTATTTCTTCACTTAAATAAGACACCATTGGAGACAGGGTTCCCTGTTTCACTTCACCCTTAACAGAAAGCATCTTTCTGAGTGGACCGTACTTATCCCCTGTGCAAAGCTTCATTTGTCTTGTTTCCTTCCCACACAGCAACCTGTCAAGATGGCACAGCCTTTGCAGTACAACTCCTAAGAGCAGCTCCCTGTTGCACATGGACTAACCGTTGTAGAGATAGATTGTATTGTCCAAGACCATGATGAATTCTTTAAGGTTGCCATAAAGCATTGCTTCAGCCTTACCGAGTAGACGGTGTTATTCCAGAGCACTATTAGTAGAAGAGGGGATTAGTGTGTCTTTAAGTGAATGGTGCCAATGGGAACGGCACGTCGGCAGGGCAGCTGCAAGCTCGGCCTGAAACACGACCACCCTTGAAACCCTACCTCTACTCCACTGACCCATGCAGGCTGACTTCATACTGTTGACTGACCATATGGGTTGCGTCAATCCCTGAAATGTAACTGCTTCTTGGCAGCAGGGCAGATCCTGCCTGTATGACTGATAACGTGCTACTTGAAGCAGGGGAAAAATTGTATTTACACATCTTTTCCGTAGCTCACCACGGAGGGCTGAACTCAGTGGGTCCCTCTTGTGCCTGTGTCCCAGGTTACCCAAGTGGAAAGTGTTCGCTTTCCTTGTTGTGCTAAATGAAGGTCTGGGGGAGGGGTGTGTGTGTCCAAATAGCTATAAAAAATGAAAACGTGAGATGACATTTCCCACAGATGCTTCCCAACAGAGCCTGTTTTCTGTGGGGTCGGAGAATCCTCCCCCAACTAGGATTTCCCTGCAAAACACTCTTCCACACGTTAAACTCTTTCAAAGTTTTTTTGCAGGCTAATCCCCTCTGCGATAGATGAAGCTGGGTCCCAATGGCTCATTTAGTCTAGCTTTATCCCTTGCACTCCCATCTGTCTGCCCAGCAGAGCTTCACCTCGTGCCCTTTCCTCTAAAACGCCCCACGAGTTGGAGCTGCCTGGCGCAAGGGGAGGCTGTGCTGAGGTGCCTGGAAAGCATTTCCCAAAAACCAACTTCTCTTCTTTTGCGAAGTCCCTGCCATCACTACGAGCCACAGCGGGAGAAAGGAGGTGACCTTTTTCCTTTTTTGTGCCGGGTGAAAGTCACTCTCTGGCAGGAGTGCAGAGTGGTGCGGACCCCCACGTGTGGCTGGAGCTCGCTGCGATAATCTGGTTGTTTTCCCCCCTCTCCTTTCCCCTCCTGGCGCTGCGACGGGCTTATCTGGGCGCCTGAGTTATGTTAAGTAGCGGGTGCATGCCTGCTCTCTGTTCTCCTCGCTGCTTTTGCTCCTTGGATTTCAATTCCAAACATGGTTATCCATTTGGGGTCTCTCTCCTTTCTGCTGCCAAGTGATACACATTCCACACTCAACACCAGCTCCCTCCGCTACTCTCTCACAGTCGCTATTTCCAGTTGCTGGAGGGCTGGTGAGAGAGGCAGTGCAACGAGATCTCTGTCCTGTCTGAGAGTTTTCCAGCTAATGGCCTCTACTCTTTCTTCGACTGAGCTCTTTTGGCCTCATATTTGCCAGCTCTGTTTCTCACTGGCGTGGCTAAGGAAGCGTCCAGCTGCCGGTTTGTGAGCCACGAAGAGGAAAAACAAGGCCTTTTGGGGCATGAAAACGTTTGGCGGCACTTATAACATGTCTCTCTGAAGCGCGCTGCTGCGGGACCGGCCGGTGCTCAAGAGGAGGAGGAACAACAACAGCAGCTACCCAGCAGCTCTGGTTTCAGACCTCTGCGGCACCCTTTGTGTATGACAATTCGTTTTGAGCGCAGGATGGCTGGGGAGGGTGGGGAGTGGGGAAGGATGAGCGCAAGCAGCCTCTCTTGGGACCAGGCTGTTCTCCAGCCTCCGGTGTGTGATGCCTGGAAGGAGGTTATGGAGGGAGCAGCCTACCAGCTGGCCAGCTGCATCGTCCTCCTGGGTTACATGGGGGGAAGTGGTATCTTTGGGTCGCTCTACATCTTTGGCCTCCTGGCCCCGGGCTACTTCTGCTATGCTCTGTGGGGCTGGCTGAGTGCCTGTGGGCTGGATATCTTCATCTGGAACGTGCTGCTGGTCCTCATCTGCTTGCTTCAGCTGGCTCACCTGGCTTACCGGCTCCGCAGAGATACCATCCCGGAAGAGTTTGACCTCCTCTACAAGACCATGTACCTGCCCTTGCAGGTGCCCCTGGATGTCTACAAAGAAATCGTGAAGTGCTGTGAAGAGCAAGTCCAGTCGCTAGTCAGAGACCAGAATTACGCAGTGGAGGGCAAGACGCCCATCGATCGCCTATCGTTGCTGCTGTCTGGCAGGTAAAGGCTCTCCTGTTTCCGAACAGACTCTGACAGCAAAGCACCGTGGCTCACTGTTGTATTTTCACCCTCTGTAGAAACTAGGGTGAGGATTGTTTCCTTCCTCTGAAAGGGCTTTGAGATATGCATCCGTTTGTTGAGGAGGGAGGTAATTTGCTTTTGGGGAATGTTTGTGTTTTCTTTTGTTTTTCTAAATTAGAATATTTCAGGGAACGGTTTGCAGAATCAAGCTATGTGCAGTGAGGCGGCCAACCTTCCCTTGCTGTGATACTGTTGGGAAATCCTTACCTCTTTCTCTGTCATGTTAAAGTGATCTTATTTCTGATGGGAGCAGACTGGCTGTGAGAGAGTGTTTCTCAAGGCAGGAGGGCAGTGTGGCTGGACCTGTGGTCTCTGGGGGTACCAGACACACCTCTGAGTGATCAGCTGTGCACTGAGTATGCCGAGTCCTCAGTTCACCTGCTCCCCCTGGCCAGCAGCATTCAGGGAGAGGTCCCAGCCCTGTTCCCAACACCTCAACCCTCAGGGCTCTGAAATTTTTCACTTTGAGGGTCACTTCATCAAAAGAGAGAATGCTCTCCTGTGGTAGATCCCACCTCATGAGGCCTCTTTCTTTCCCTGTGCTGTCATGATGTTCCTTCCTCTGGACCACCACGGAGGGAGGACCTCAGGGATCTCTAGATAGTCGCATTCGGGATTTGATTACTGAGTGAACTGTGCTGATGAAATGCTGGCATTTGTTGACCTGAGATCCTGTGGCATACCTTTATGAGCATATCTCAATGATTTGCAAAATCCAAATGCATACAAATAGTAATGATACTGGTTTCCCAGCCAGGCACTTGGTACGGATGTCAAGTGAGAGTGGGAAAGGAAGGAGATCTGTAAATGGGAGCAGTGCTGAGCTGTAGGAGGTGTGTGTCTCAAGGATTTTCCTTTGGGAAGACAAACCCAGCATCACCTGGGGCCCATGTTTTACTGCGGTGGTCCACCCTCTGTGGTGGGGTGAGGGGGTGTGTAAAGAAGAAGGGCTGTCCTTCCTTTTTTTGGTGTTTGACCCTTTTCTAGAATGTGTTAAGATCATACTGGGACCACTGACCAGTGCTGAATGTCAAAGCACTGGGAGGAAATTGGGAACATGTATTTCCATTAGATGTCTTTCCCCTTACCAAACGTCTGTGCTGAGCAGCTTGCTTTGAAGCTTACCGTATCTGCAGATAATGTAAGTGGGGAAGAGTCTGTGCTGTCTTGCCCTGCACTGGATAATCTGATGCTGCTCCGTGGGCATGAAAGTGCTGCAACAGACAGTAAGCCAGTGTTGGTGGGGTAGTTGTTCTGCTCTCTTTTGCAGTGGGAAGTGTGTGTCATGGCTGGTATAGGATGCTCTATGGAGATGGGATTTGATTTGCATTTCCTGGTACCCACTCTATTGCCTTGTGAGGTCCTTGCCGTCCCAGCAAAGCATTGCTACTGTTATGGTGTCCCCTCTTACACTGAACAAGAACAAGACAAGGAGGGGCTTGGAAATGCAGAATGTGCCTCGATCAGGAAACCTGCCCTGCGATCCCTGATCCTTCCAGGCAGCACTCCCAGCCGACTGGAAGTCAATAGTGAACTGAGCCTTGTAACTCCTGAAAGCCAGAATTGCCTTTGTGCGTTGTACAACAGGGGAATGTGGTGACATGGAGGCAAGAGGCCCCACATCTGGTGGTGCAGAGCTATGAACAGAGCTCCAGAGTGCCCTGCCATTGCCCCAGGCCTGTGCAGCTGTCCTTCTCTGTTCCCACAGCCAAGCTGGGTGCAAGTTTGACCTTGACATTGGTAGGCAATCATAGCAAAAGTAGGGGGAAAGGATACTTTGAAGGCACGGAGGCCAAGGGAGATTGAATGGTAATGTGTAGCAAACTATGAGCTCGCAGTGTGATATGTCAGGAATGATGGCCAGTGTGATTTTGGGGGGTTCTAGGTGTAACAGCTTCCCAGCATTGAGGCAAGGAATGCCCTCATGCAACTCTGACGGGAAGAAGATGCAAGTACAAAGAGCCACAGACTGGCTTAGAAGTACCTGAAAAGCAGCAGCAGCCTTGTGGGCTGGGAAGTCCTGGTTTAGGACCAAGGATTGCACCTGTGAGGGCTGCCTTTGTAGCAGGAAACAGAAAACAGATGGAGTATGGGGAAGTGGCAGCAAATATTGTTTCCCACAAAGGGGGGACAGCCTCATAGACTGGAGCATTTGCAGCTGTCCCGGCGAGCGTATGAGACATGTGTGAGATGGGGAGAAGCCCCTTCCTCCCTGTTGGGACCAGCTGCCTGCATGTTGTGTGAGCTGACCAGGTTCATTTGACGTATATTTTGTGGCCTAAGTCTGTGCACCTCACCTGTCCTCTCTGCAGGATCCGAGTGAGCCAGGACGGACAGTTCCTTCACTATGTCTTTCCGTACCAGTTTCTGGACTCTCCAGAATGGGAGTCGCTGCGACCCTCCGAGGAAGGAACTTTCCAGGTAACCCCACATGGCCCTGCAGCAGCCCAACCTTGCTCCTTGCCCCTTCATTGCGTGCCTGAGAAGGGAGCGAAGTGGGCTCTTTACGCCATTCAAAGCTAATTGGGAATACTCTCCTGCCCTTCCTTGTGGTTTAGCCAGCACAGGATGGTGCGATCAACTGTGTTATCTTTTTTTCCTACTTTCCTCTGAAGACCTCACCGTGTGCTCCTACTATCAGTTGATAGCAGGGAGGGTGGAGCATGGTGCTCCTTCCAGCTTAGCAGGGAGATGAGGTATCAGATTGCTGGCTCTCTTCCATCACAGCATTCCCTAGTACCTGTATTGATGCATTTGCCCTGCACACTGCTAGTAGGGCACATCGTGCCAGCATCAGGGTGGCAGCCATGGCAATATGCAGCAGTGATGTAAATCCATAAATATCCTGTTCCTCACAGAAGTTTCTGATGGTGATGTGTTTAGGGTGGAGAAGCAGAAAGGATGATTCACACCCGAATATGGTTCTTTCTGAGCAAAAGAATCCCCTGTTGAGAGGCCAGACCAATTTTTACTTGCAGCAACTGAAAGGATTTTGCTCTTGCTGTCAACACCCCACAGTATCTGTTTGGGTTTCCTTCTGGAGGAGATTACTTAAGCCCACATCTCTCTGTCTTTAACTCACATCCCAGGACAGGCTGATCCCTGTCAGGATGTCAGTCTAGAATATGTCAGTTAGGGCATATGAGGAGGGATTTTTGCATGGGACAATCATGACAGAATGATGATGCTTTCTCATGAGGGCAGCTACATTCAGACTTGGTTAAACCAGGACAGCTCTTTGAATCTGCTTTCCTCAGGTCTGAATTTGGCCCGTGTACTGTGTGAATGGGTCATGGTGGTCGCTTCTGAAAGCTACGCCATGGCAGGTGATTATGGGTTGCAAGAGGCACGGTTGCAGGAGATGGCTGACCATGTCACTGTGTCACAGGGCTACAGCTCATAAGCAGAAACAGGGATGTCAGGCCAAGATAACAGAGTAGACGAGGGAAACAACAGCATGGCAGTACTAGGGGTGGGGGTATCTCATGTTTCGCACAGGGCTTCAACCCAGCAGCAGATTGCTGCTAGCTCCAGGATTGTATTCACCTAAGAGTCATGACTGAAATCTGTCCTGCTGCTCCGGTTAGGAGGCAGGTTTTCTTATTACCTCTCGCTTAATCCCTCACAAGAAGCAGAGGCTTTCAATTGCTGTGCCAGAAATTGGTTAGGAAAATGAGATTCTGGTCATTTCAGTTTCTGTATGACTGTTCTTCTCGCTCACCTCGGCCTGGGAAAGTTCTCGGGTTTTATCTCTATATTTCTTTCATAAGGCAGCTGCTTGCATGGCAGTGGCATTAAATATCAAACCCAAGG